CGTTTTCCAAAATTATATCAATCGGTTTGTCTGTTGTTAGTATCAAAATTTGTAATAACACTTTGATTTCAGATCCTGGAAATCATAAGTGGGTGGGTTTGTGGTGGGGGGGATTTTTACTAGGTGGACTATTACTGATTCTGGTATCAATACCATTTTTCTCATTTCCAAAAGAATTAACTCACGAAAAAGAAAAAATAAGACTTATGGAGAAGGCGGCTGCCAAATCCAATGGAAACAATAATACTTCTGCGTCGACTGCACCTGTTCAACACACAACAAAAAATGATAGCGGATACGGCAAGGATGTTAAAGGTATTCCACGTACTTTTTAATCGTTTTCTGATGGTTCCTTTGCAGATATTCCTCAATCAATGTGGAGGTTGGTGTGTAATCCAATTTACATTGTAACGTGTCTTGGCGCGTGTATGGAACTCATTATAGTGTCTGGATTTGTTGTATTCTTACCTAAATATTTAGAAACACAGTTCAGTTTAGGAAAAAGTCAAGCGAGTGTGTTTACTGGTAAGTATCGGTTTAAGATATAGTTCAGACATTTTGTTTGACATTGATTGGAAACTGAAATTTCGATAACTCAAGAGTAATACATAATTTTTTTGAAATTTTAGATCTTGATATGTTAACAGAAGAGAAATCAAGGCGCGCATGCGCGACATCGGTTTTGGTCATCTCCCTTCCATCTCAATTAACTTATTAAAGTATTCAATATTTTTGATATATTTAATGATTTGCATTTGACTATTTGTTTATTACGCATTACGCTTGGACAGTGTAGGTCTATTTTCACTCGAGTTCAAACTTGTAGCCTTTTGCTGCTCCAGCAGGCCCACTTTTACTCGCATTTATACTTATTTCTCTCAGCTGAATTTTCGAATAAAATAATACCAAACCTAATTCCGCCCCTGTTGTATAAGTTTCAGTTCTTCGTGGCCATTTTTTAACAAGTCACTATTGTTGTCAGTACTGTTGTACAGTTCTCAAGAAAGTTTTTTTGTAATTGTTTACGAATGTGATGGCTTCCTCTTTGTCCTCCGAGCGCAATTTTTGTATTAGGGAACAAAAAGAGGTCGCGTGAGGCTACATCTGGTGAATAAGAAGGGTGGTCAAGCAGTACAAATCGTAATTTGTGGATTTTCGTCATGGCAACCACAGAGGTGTGAGACGGTACATTGTCTTCGTGAAACAGAATTTTTTTTCTGCAAATGTGACCTTTTTTCCGCAATTTCTGCCTTTAAACTTGTAATGATGCGTAGTATGCTCCTGTAATGGTTTCTCCTGTTTGAAGCTAATCCATTAAGATAACTCCATGGTTATACCAAAAAACAGTCGCCATCACTTTCCCAGCCGAAAAACAGTTTTGCTTTATTTGGAGCTGATTCTCCCTTCGCAGTCCACTGCTTTGACTGTATAATAGTGTATCCAAGTTTCATCTACAGTATTAATCTTCGCCAAAACTGATTTACTGCGCCAACAGATTTTATTGACGACTGCTGCCATCTTGACGTTGAGCTCGGAAACTTTCAGACCACCCTCGTACATTTTCAGTCCATTTGTACCTACAGTATTTACGCCATCTACAGTACGTAAATTGTAGATAGTATATACATTCTACATACATAATAGTCAAAAAGTACAATCCGAAGAATATTCTCCCCTGCAGACACTCTCTCACAACATTACCTTTGAAGAAAAATTTACGTTCAAGACAACTCGATTCACAAAGAATTGCATCCTCGCTAAATTCGCCATACTTGCTTACTAGGACCCTACTCTTAAAAAATCAACCGATCAACTTGATCCAGAAGAACTAGAGAAAACGAGTCTCTCTTGGAGTGACTGATATAAACCCAGATTCCTGCTGGTCCCAAGTAAATACGCCTCTGAGATCCCCCTCCCCTCTCCACCGGGAAAAATTCGCCACTGCTGGAATACTCGCTCACTAGGATGTTATTTTTCCCGAAGAAAAATTCACGTTCACCACAAAAGAATTCAAAAGACTTGCAAAAACCAGTATGTACCCAATTCCAGAAGATCCTTATCCTATCCTACATATTTTGCGTCCACTAATAAATAATGTTGATGCCTGTGTTCCTGTACTTCCAGGTGATGCAAAGTAAAATTTACTTATATAATTTACATGACAATCTTAACATACTTAGTACGTCCATTGGACAAAAGGGAATATGAGAATAAACTTGCGTGTTTTGCGCATGCGTCCAATTAATTTTTGAAACTGGTCTTTATTGGTTAGAATTTCAGAAAAATATTTCCAAAATTAAAATGCACACCTTTGGCATGGGCATTACGTTTGGCTTCAGTAGAAACACAAATGTGGTTAACATTCAGATAAGAAATTTGACATTAGCACTACGTTTGGTTTGATTAGAAATTGTAAAAATTGCACAATAATATTTGCAGAAAGGGGATCCTGCGCATGCGCACATTTCACCAAGTTGATTATATTTTGATTACTGACCGGTTTGTCGCAATTTTTGATTGGAGGAAGTACTATTTCCTTTCTCTCAAAATTGTGACCGTTCTACGTTCGTCCGTCTGTGCGCACGATAACTCTCGATCGGAAGGTTGTAGTTTATATTTTTCTTGGTCTAAGTAAAATCAACGTGGACATTTATGTGGAAAGAGTTACGTATGCAGTTGGTTTTTAGATAGGTATCTCCCATTTTTTTTCAATCCATTAGGTGCAGTTTAAAAACGCCTCGTAAGACTTTACTGGAATTTTTTTCATTTTCACCCTATCTGGTTAGGTGTTCTGAATGCGTCTTCTAATATTACCTTTTTTCATTTGTGAAAAAAAGTTCATTTGCGCATGCGCCCACAACCTTTTATCAAAATTACTTCCTTGGCAAAAATATAACCGATATTAAAGACTGGCATGAAAGAGAAGATGTAATAATTTTTGTTTTAGGTTCCATCGCTATACCCGGTGCGTGCATTGGCATATTTATGGGTGGTTGCATTTTGAAGCGTATGGAATTGCGACCGAAAGGAGCGATACAATTTGTACTTTTTGCCAACTTTATTTGTCTCTCTTGTTACGCCTTGCTGTTCTTCTTGGGCTGCGACAATCTCAAAATGGCCGGCACTACGATTCCATATTTTAATAGTACTCATACCGAACCATTCCAAGTGAATCTTACGTCATCTTGTAATTTTGGATGTGAATGTAGCATGAATGACGTTGAGCCTGTATGTGGAAATAATGGGTTAACCTATTTTAGTCCGTGTCACGCCGGTTGCACCTCCATTTTAAGGTCCAATTACACCAACTGTGCCTGTAAGTTTATTTATAGTTTTCTATTTGGAAACATAGTTTTTTGCAGGCATACACGGTAATATGAGTTTAATAACGGGGACAACATCTGCAGTTACACTGGGTGCTCGAACTGCCGATGCTGAATATGCTGAAGTCACAGTAGTTCCCGTCGCTACTGCTGGTCCATGCAACTCTTCCTGCCATACTATTTATCCATTTCTGATTTTATTGTTTTTTATGACATTTATTGTAGCTGTAACTCAAATGCCATTACTAATGATTGTGCTTAGGTAACCGTAGTAAACGACCTGTTCCCGTATTAAATTTCGTATTTGCAGATCCGTCGGTGAGGAAGAGAGGTCGTTTGCTTTAGGAATGCAATTTGTAATATTTCGACTGTTTGGTTATATACCCGCTCCGATTTTGTTTGGCAACCTAATAGACTCTACGTGCTTGCTTTGGAAGAGTACGTGTGGTACCAAAGGTGGGCGATGTCTCTTGTACGACATCGAAAAATTTCGTTATAAGTACGTCGGATTATGTGCCGGAATTAAAATTCTGGCTTTAGCAATTTTCATAACCGATTGGTGGCTGATTAGACGTCGCCGGCAAATGGATGAAATTGCAGGAATGACGGCAAACGAAATTGTTGGCTCTATTATTAGTTTAGATAAATGTGAGTAGCATTTTTCAATTTCAGAGTTTTGTATAAGTCGGCTTACAGTATTTGAAGAGAAAGGATTTACAGCTGGTCATCGGCGTAATATTAGCTCTGTTTCAACGTACGAAATTCCTGCTTCTCCAAATCCGTCTACATCCGGCCTTAAAACTAACTCCCCACCTGGTGGTACTGATTTAAAATCCACGGCTGCTAAGGCATCATGCGAAAACAAAGAGGATGACCCTAACTGTCAGAATGATGCTGTTTCGTGTGGCAATATCAGTTTGAAAGAAAAGGAAGGGCAGTTATAATTAGAATAACACCTAGGCAATTTTGCACAGTTAGATCATTTTAAATGGTCATTTCATCTGACACTTGTTGTATAACACCGATTAGTTATCCCAGTTGCTTCCAAAGTAACTTCTTGCCTTAGTTTATTTGGAGAAAGTCAAATGGATCCTATTTTTTTTGGCAAAGTTCAAGTGCTTACTTAGTTTATGTTACTTATCCTAATGCTGCTATTATTTCTTGAACGGTAGCTATTTAGTAGCAGATGAGCTTGAAATTTTACTACTAAAGGTATCTAACTTTTGAAAAACATTAATTTAGATGGTTAGATTTTTATTAACCATTAGTTATTGCTTCAAACAAACAGTGGTTATGTATTTCGTATGAATCATTTGATGGTGCTTAAACAGTATTGCAATATTAATTACAGCATATTCTTTCAGTTCTTTTTGGGAATAACAGATTAGCTAGACGACTATTGTTATATGATATTACTAATTTAAGGCGTTTCTGGATATGCTGTAGACACTGTACAAATTAGCTAAGTATTAAGAAAGAACTATGCAACGTGATTTTTTTAGATTTTCATCGAGAACAAGTAGTTTGAAAAGTACAATGTTAATAAAAATGTAAATTAGCATTATATTTTAGCAAGGCAGTAAACATAATAGCCACTTACTATTGCACCTATTCGGTTAATAAAGCCTAATACTTGCATATGAGTGCACACTTAACTATTAACATATACACCACTATGGTAGAATGCAGAGAGTTCTCTTTTTGATTTTGTCTTTGTTTCGCCTTTTGTACCAATATTGTGTAAGGGAACTTAAAAATTGCACTATAGCAATAATCTGTTTTTATTTTTTGACACGTACTTAAAAACCATAAATATCTAAGTAGTCTTATGAGACCACTTACTTAACCAGTAATACTTCGAAATAAACTAAGATGAAGGATTATGTAGGAATTTTTAAATCCAAAACTATAGATAATGACGGTTAAGTTTCATAAAGTCACTGTATCTTTTTTCAACCCTTCTTTTGCCAAATAAACCTTCCAACTGAACTTTGTCTTAAAGCATATTGTCACTACTTATTGAATTTCAGAATTCTAATTACAATTTGATCATGATTAGTATGATGTGTATTCTTACCCCTTCTTTCGTAATGTGGTTGATAAACTTTTGAAAGTATCAATACAAAAAAGTGTCAATATTATCCTAACCCAGATCACAAGGAAAGTCAATAAACAATTCATATCAGTATTTCTACCTTTGACGCCTACTTCAGCATGTGAAAACTTCATTCTAAAACAAAAGTCAATTATTTATAAGTTGGACCATGTAACACTCGTCTAAACCAAAAATGGTTGTGGTTATGATCATTTTGACAATAAATGCACTTAGACGATTCGCCCTTTTATACTGAATAATGTAAATACAGAAATTGTTAAATACTATTAATCCACCCAATTTTTTCATGTCACAGTTGTACATGTGCTTAAAGTATAACCAATGCAGTACAACCGAACCAAAATTTGGTACTAATTTGATACCAAAACATTCATTTCATTTAAACAGCTTGAATGGACATATTCAAAAATGCTTTGATGCTACTTTAAACTTTTAGTTTTTAGTGACACAGAACTGCATGATTCGTGATTGGTGCAAGCAATCAGCTTTACATTAAATTGGAATTAACCGTCCCCATGAATAGATTCGGACACCACCGAATAAAATTTTATGTTTGCATGATAGGATTTAGTAAATGTGTTATTTAACTGTATTGCATTGGTTAATTGGAACTTGAAGTAGGCACAGAAAATCAAATGTTGATCCTTTTTGGTTAATGTTAGTTCTACATAATCCTTATACTATATGGCCATTTTGCATAAAATTAAGAATGCACAATCGTAATTCACAATTTTGAGTACTTAAAATTAAAAGTCGACATTTTGCAATAAGTGGTGCCACAGTTTCAAACTGCAAACCTATCATGTAGTACGTTCCATTTGAAATATATTATTAAGGAGCAATTAGGGTTACATAAAAGGCGTGTTAAAATGAATGTATTTTATTAATACATGAAACAAACAAATATTTTATTAATATAAAATAAGTGATAGCAGATGAGTTGTACTCACTGCCAATGATAATTCGGATGACATTTATTCTAGTTTAAACCAAATTTTTGTATTTTATTTATTTGTAATAAATGGTTTTGATCACAGTTTTTTTTTTTCTTTTTTGAGTTATTCGGTTTATATTGGCATTCGCGCTAAGAAAGAGTCGGAATCCAAGTTCTAATTGATAAAAACAGATCAGTATATGCTCAAAAGTTCATATATGCCTTAACCAAATCCTTTAAAGAAAGCTTTTTAAAATGATAAAACATATTTTTTTGGAAACTTTAAAAGTCAATACTAATCGTTCAAAAGAGTCGGATTTTGATTTATCTAATAGGCTAGTGCGTTAGAAAAGTATAACCGAAATATCAAATTCTAAAGTAATTTTGTGGTTATTTATGAGTTCGTGATAGAATTGAAAAACGTTGGGATTCTGATGTTTCCAACAGGTTTCGTTATTGGGGAGAGGGACTACACTATGTGTTAAAAATATGTGGTATAGTATTTACAGGGAGTTCCAAAAAATCTGAACCTCATAATTTATTAAGGATGTGAATAAACAAATAAACCAATTCAACTTTGAATAATACTGTTGAGTACCTGCATCTTTTTGGTACACTCTGTACACTTCTTACTATTTCTAAATAATGATATGAATACGCAATGCAAGCACAATTTATCCTGGAAGTATATGTATACTTTTAATGTTTCAGCTTCTCATACGATAATTCTAATGTAACATTATTGAAATGCATATTGAATAATTCTTGTATCAGATTCTATGATACACATTTTTTTAATCTACAATATTTCAGAATAATAGATAAGTGTACAGTGTCAATTAATGCTAAGGCGTTAAGGACATACGGAAAATAGAAGTAGTAGCACACTGGCTTTTCAATTTTTGATCTCCCTTTGATTTTCAAAGAGTCAACTTTCCTGCAGGTTTTCACATGTCTTGCACTTATTAATATTTATTAGGTCCAAATTTTCAATAAACTGTAGGGTGATTTATTCAAAATACCTATTGGCCCTGTATGATTAAAAATTAAAGTGTGTAAATTTAGAAAAAGTAGGTTTCTGTATGTCCTTCCATAGCCTGATCTATATGGTTATTAAAATATGCGATATTTCTGTGACAATTATCCTCTCTCATCCATGTTGAAAAAAATGTGTATCTGCACCCCACAGATGTAATACCAGCACAATATGCTTACGCTCATAATGTCTTTAAACGTAATTGACTTTATTGTCTTCAAATCGAGATGATCAAGAACAAGATCATTTGACGTTACATGTGTAGACCCCGCCCATTATGCCTAATGTTGTTTGTACAACTGTTTCTACTGTTATTATGTAACAAATATTTGTAACACTTTTGTGCTGATTATTATATGTAACTGTGATTATGTATTGGTGTAACTGTACTGTTTGTATGTTTTTTACAAATTTGTCGGGAGAAGAAACAACCACTTAACAGTACTAAACAGAACAGAAAAGTTGGTGCATTACCGTTTACAGCACAGTTTGGTAATCTAGGTTGCTAATTAATTTGCCTATGTTCAAACGCTTCTTAGTTTAATAATACAGGTTATTCTGTCTAAAAGCATTCTAGTACACCACATCATTACACAGTGGCGCTCCGGTTATATAGCTTTCAGTTTGTGTTTCAATCAAAGCAATGAAGATATATTGAATATTAATAAGGTAAATGTAGGTACTAGGATGAATTTTAGACAGGATGTCAGTTAGCCAAAGTTGTGCACGTACAGTATTTTATGTCCAACTGAACTTTTGTACAGAGTGGTTTCTTTCTGATGTTTAACATTTGGATCTTAAACAGTACCTAGACTGTGAGTCCAAAATGGAGAACGAGCTCCATTTGGTGTAGTGGTTACGCAATTTTCGAATTTTTTTTCTGGACTGATGCCTTTATAATTGAGTTAGTAAAACTGCAATTGTTGATAAACTAACCGTTGGAAAACAAACTCGTCCTGTAGCTACAAGGAAATGTATCCTATCACATTTTTCCCATATAACAACAGATGCTGACTTTGACACATGACCATTTAGCCCTTAGGATTATGAACTGGTACAGTTGGACATAAAATTAAATAACTGGTCTGCTATAAACATCCAGGCACCAATTAGTTTGGTGTTAAATATACAATATGATAAAGGAATGATTAGTATATGCACTTATGCAGTATTCTTATTTTTGTAGGTAGATACTAGGTAGTTGAGTTGTAAAGCCTGTGATGATAAAAAAAATTTTGGTCATGTCATTCATACTCAAAAAGCAAATTTATGAAAAATTGCTTTTCTAAGGTTGTTACAACAAGAATCTTGAAAAGTTAATTACTGCAATTCGAGATTTTTGTGCTAAACTTTTTCTCTCACAGATATAAATGATTATCAAACACAGGGTTTTTAATGACTGCATTGTTAACTCTTGATTTTTTATTCATTTAAGTATGAGGAATATGCGTTCTTTTTTTATAATAAATTGGTAATTATAAAACGATGGGACCTCTTTTATTCAAAGCAAATTATAGTTTACGTTTCCAATATAATATAGCTTCTTCTGACCCTCTTGTGGTTTGTGAAAATATGCCATCAAGACGTAATCAAATATGGTAGGTACATATGTGTGCTTTGGTATTCAACCTGTGCATATGTGACAATAATAATTATGGTGAAATACAGTGCTGGACCTCTCCATAAAACTGCACACCCATGATGCGAATGTTTGTTCGTGTATTTGAAAAACGGTGCCGCAAAGTGACGTTTGTATCCTCTCGTAATGTAAACCTTTCTCTAATAATTATTCAATTAAAAATAGGCAAACGACCTTTGTCGGCTCTACTTTCACCTATTTTAAAAGGATGGTGGTAGGGTAGGGAACATTTCCCTAAAATGCGGTTGCGACTTTTTGGTGGAAAGAGGAATGCAGTTTTTCCAACAGCCCCAATAACATTTTGTTAATGTTGCATCTAAAAGTAATGTATTTTAATGTAAGTAGGTACACAGAAAATTCCCTCCACAGTGCAACTTCGGCCCCGGATGCTCCCATTCAGAATGTTCGTTCTATAGTAATTGTCCCAGAAAGGATCGCCCGTATAGATAAATTCACTTAGAACTCGCAATATTTACTACTAAGAAACTCGAAAAAGAGGGGTACACTCTAACAGCATATGCCTTTTGAGTTGAATTTTCCATGAAAACCTGGAGCTAGTTGCCTCAGGGAGGGGGAGGATATATTATTTAAGATGGCGTCGAGTTTTAATTGTTCTGAGGGTGAGCTTTCATGATCGAGTTGTGCCAAAAAAGGCAATTTTTCCCCCCTTCAGCAAAGTTACAATGAATAAATGTGTCAGGGATCTCAATGAAAACTTCACTTACCCTTACATTTTACCATCGTGGCTAAATGGGCAGACTTATCATATTTTCCCACAGGGAACTTTGCCAAAATATTTTTGAGGATGTCTCTGTGGAACACTATGTAAATTCAGCGGTAAATTTTTCTTGAGATAAAAGTCGAGGGACCCAGTGAGAGACGGGAACTCGTGGCTCGTGTTATAAGTTCTGAGAGGTCGAAAGCTCCGTTAGCGTGTTCTGACAGTGGAGTTTGTCTGTGACAATTTTCAGCAAGATGCGTATTTCTGTTTCGGGTTTGTTACGCCGAATCTCTTTTCCCCTTTACCCCCTCATAGTTTTTCTTATGCTGCAGTGTGAGTGATGAAGGATGGGTTGTTCACCAAGGCGACGCAAAGGGGCGTTTTCACCTATAATCAAAGAGTATTATGGTTACTCTTTGCTATAATCTCTATAAAACCACCCACAGTAACCACATATAGTTAACTTGTTCACCCTCTGGTTTAAAATTTAGTCGCCTAGTGCACTTTGTAGTTTGTATAGGTATAAGTATCAAGTACGTACTTCAATGTCAAGGACTTTCTAATTCGTCGCAAATAAAGTACTTAGGTACAAGTATCCAGTACATATTATGTACTTAAGTACCCTGGTACTTAAGTATTACTCAACACTAATAGAGGGTAGGCGCGTCTACTGTAGTTGGGACGATTGGATTGTGCCTTATTCTGCAAAAGCCTATTCCTCTATTTTGAATAGGTTAAGCTCTTATGAAGAGGAAATTGGCATTGGTTTTGGACATATCCATTTTGGTATAGGCGTGTTGTTCACGTTTGGGTGAAACATTTGTGTTAGGGAAGTGGTCTTGGTTTTTGGAAATGTTCGTGGATTGGACCTCTCGATATAATAGCCTAATATCACTCTTGTATCTGTTGCAGTGCGTTCGTTTTACTACTGTTGGTGCGTTTCCTTGACGTCCGTGGTTTCCTTACACCTTCTGGCGAAACGAAAAGTATATACACTTAGCATTTGCTAAGGTTCGTGTGGGGCTTAGTAGTCACAATTTCGTGGCGAAGCCAAGCATCTTATACGTATACGCGGGTAATTATTAGACTCCATGGTTTTTACCCATCAAAAGTTTAGTGCCTAGCTACCCAATTCCAGTAAATCTGGCCGTATCAATGTATATCATTCAAATGCTTCATGGAGTAGAGAAATCCGAAAGGGTTCTCGACGATCGCTCATATTAAACGTAATAGGAACCTAAGTGTATTGACATCGAGTAGGTACCACAATATTCACGTACTACTTGTTCCTATTTTGAATTTAACTGATTCTTCATAAAAGTTCCGGTAATCACACTTCCCCGCCATTTTCTTTCTCTGTATGTTTTCCTGTCTTTTGGGTTGGGAGCAGCGTGTCTTTGGTAAAGAATAACTCAAAAAGATTTCTTTTCGTTTTTGGCCCTCGTTTGCCCATGAATTTACTAAGTTTGGAATGGGACGAACTTATCCCTCTCGAACGTTTCTGCTGTAGGTAGCAAAGTACTCGTCACAAAGAATATTATAAGGTAGGTAATATGGTTCAATTCCGCATCTTCTAAAAAGCCTTTCAACCTTTATGCTTTATTAAAAACTTTGCTTTTGGATCAGTAACGGCTTAACAACAATAATTAACAACTCCTTGCTAATAAAATGTTGTTAGTGGCCCAAAAAATGCCGTATTTAAAGACCGCACCCGGATGTGCGTCGTGTGGGTTGTAAACCCCGCTATAATCAGTCTATGCTCCCGACAAAAATTTATCTTTTCTAAGGAAATGTATGAGGAACATGGATGTCTAACAGCAAAACTGGTTTATAATTAATACACGATCTTATAACCGACCAATTGGGTAAGATCATTGAATAAGTAATTATAATTGCTTATTTAATGGTAAGATAAAGAATTTTTTTAGCAAAAGAAGTCTGCATTTTGAAATTTTATGACCAATGCATGCTTTTTCTGTACATTTGAATATGTAAGACTTTGCAAGTCCACAAGAGATCTTTTACAAATCACAACATTTAACAGAACATGAAAATATGTTCTTAACATCCCCAACTTACTCGACCTCCCCTATGTTTGTTCATTTGTTCAATTTGTTCAAGAAACAATATGGGATTTGAGTACCTTAGGCAGTTCTATCTTTTATTATTTTTGTAGGTAAGCATTTTTCGGTTTCTGCAAACGTTTTATGTTTTTAGTTGTTCTACTTATGTAGGAACACTATGACATCAAATTAGAAACAATAACAAATTTAATTGTATAGAGAGGAAGAGAGCGACCCGATGATCATGTACTGCATGGAGGTATACCCGATTCTCATGTTGCCCCTCCTATCTATAGGATTCCTCTAACTCTTTGGACCTCTAGCAGAGAAGTAATTAGGAAGAATTAAATTAGAGATATTAAGAAAATACTCAAATACGGTTCGATAGACAGGAGGAGGTTTACGGTTATGTTCTATGTTGCGCCCAATACAGAAGGAAACATCTCGTTTACGCTTCCTAGAGACAAAGATCATACTACACTAGATAGCCAGCGTATATGCAAGAGTTGTTTCGCGTTTAAGTAGTTCCATAAAAATATTTATAGGGGGCTTTCGAAGTTAAGAACGTAACTGATTCATCCGAAGCCGTCTTCGTACGAGTTCGAATCATATCATAAATACAAAGAGTGATTATTGTCTAAACACGAGACACATAAACATGACCTACTCAATACTCCTCACTATCATTGGGATAAAATTACATTTGTAGTACGTGGGTGTCATTCCAGACAAGGTAGATTCTATTACAGACAGGACGTTACAATGAAAGAAATAATTTAAAAGTTGTACACAATATTCCCTTTGCTTTTTTTTAACCAGCGCTAACCAATACATTTTCCAGATTTTCGGATTTAATTAATAATTGCAAAAGCGTCTTTTTTCTTAGCATAATTTCTGAAAACGATACTTTTAGCAAATCTTCAAATATAATATGCACCTACTTATCCAGGCATATTTACATTGTAACCATCACACATTTATCTAATTTAGATTTGTTTGTAATTAAGCATTTTATGATTGGGATAAACGAGATATCCCGCTTAGCCTCCTACATAATAAAATTGTGTCCAGCAAAAGTGAGTCGGAACTAGATGCGTCTGTGGTTAACATTTCAAAGAAATATCTCCATAAATATGAAAGTTGGCATTCCGCCGTGTGCGCAAAATATGGAAAATACGAAACTGATCGAAATGGGCAAATATAGACCATAGCGGCTATCAATTAGCGAAAACCTGAAGTCTCTAAGTGGCCCAGGGGCCGAGATCTCGATGGAACGGATGGACGGACGGACGGACAGACGGAAACACGAGCACATAAGCTTTACCTCAACTTCGTTGTGTTACAATAAAAAATTTAATTTAAAACAAGATGTGAATATCGGAATTTTAATTTACAGTAAGGTAACCAGATAAAAACATCTATAACACCCACGCAAGGTTGCGCTTAAGAATGACACCGATATCCCATACAATAGCCCTTTATTCTAAAAATAACTGTGCTTTGCCATTTCGCGCGTCTTCTTACCCCGCCATGTAGTTTGTACTATTCTCATAAAAACATAGCCGCTGGAGGACGCAGTCGACTTATGTGGCGGGACGAATTATGAGAGTCTAAAATTTATACAGCGCTGTCTATCTAGTGTAGTATGATCTTTGCTAGAGACGAAGAAAAAAGCGACCTGTGCCTATTGCGGAGAACATCATATCAACTAGCGCGCGTGTCCCATTTACCTTCAAAAGGTGCCGCAGAACAGTTACATAAAGAAAGGATGAAGGAAGGGAGTGGTTAGCACTACAAAGGCTCCTTGAGATGGATCAAGTTAGGAGTTGGTACATCCTTTTCTATATGAAAATTCAAAATGTTTTAATCTACTTGAGCGCAAATAGGTAAACATCCATATCTGAGGAGAATCAGCGTAAGGACTGGAGCGATACCCACACCTCCACGTCGATCGATGATCATCATCGGAAACCGCGATGCGCACGTCTGGAGACATGATTCTGGTGTAGCCGTTTCGGGATAGGCGTAGGTACACGGAGAAAAATGGATTGTTAAAATCATATAGTAAAAATTATATTGTAATCAGTACGAGAAGCTATTATTATTAAATCAAACAAACCTTGACACACGCTGTACAATATGAATATGTCTAATCAAAATTATTCTCACTATATAATAATGATATTGTATTAAATATGATCTTAGATATTTAAATATATCCAAGAGCAAAAAGATAAGTAAAGGGGCTGCACGGGTTCTAGCGCAACTTCCGGCCAAATTACATGTAATTTCCCATAAGGAATTCTAAGGTTCGTTTGGGCTTTTTTTGAGCACTTCTGGTCAGTGCGCATGCGCGCTCCGCCCCTTTGCGCAGGCGTCATTTGGACACCATCTTTGCGCAGGCGTCATTTGGACACCATCTTTGCGCAGGCGTCATTTGGACGCCATCTTGGAATCCTCAAGTTCTTGGAATCCTCAAGTTCTTGGTATCCTCAAGTTCTTGGAATCCTCAAGTTCTTAGAATCCTCAAGTTCTTGGTATCCTCAAGTTCTTGGAATCCTCAAGTTCTGGGTATCCTCAAGTTCTTGGTATCCTCAAGTTCTTGGTATCCTCAAGTTCTTGGAATCTTCAAGTTCTTGGAATCCTCAAGTTCTTGGACGCGCCATCTTGGAATCCTCAACTTCGACCCCTTCGTACCCTGAAATTTTTTTTTAAATGGAACGGATTCGAACCGCCAACCATTGGATTACAAGTCCTATAGCATAACCACTGAGCTAATTAGACTATTATGGTATAATGCTTGGATAGTTGTATTTATATCGAACCTCCTGAAATTTTTTTTTAAATGGAACGGATTCGAACCGCCAACCATTGGATTACAAGTCCTATAGCATAACCGCTGAGCTAATTAGACTATTATGGTATAATGCTTGGATAGTTGTATTTATAACGAACCTATTTTAAGGGTACGGAGGCGCCATCTATTGGCGTCGTAATGCATATAGAGGTATATTTTCAACCGGCTCCCTCTATTAGATTGATGCGACTAGGGTAGGAAATTGTAATTTCAGTCGTCAAGTGCGAGGTCCCTCATTCTAACCTAGTTCAGAGACACGAGGGGGCCCCATTCTAACCTATAACCAGATTTATATCGAACCTATTTTAACGGAACGGAGTCGCCATCTATTAGGATTCGTATAGGTATAGGAAAGTATAATTTCGACCGGCGCCCCGACATTGATGAGACATCAAACGGTTAGATACGAGGGTTCAGGAGAGAGATGCAAGGGAGGAGAATTCTAACCTATCATTCCATCTCGGAGGTAGCTCCCCCATTTGAGAGACATACACAAGGGGGCCCCATTCTAACCTACAACCAGAACAGGGGCGGGTAGGGAAATAAAACAACAAAAACAAAATGTAGGGCGTTTTTATTTAGATCTGAAATATCGATTTGAAGTTTATTATTACAATTAAAGCGCTTACTCTACTTACATAAAATTTGCGTCGAAGAGGACCGACGACGGCAACGCCCCTATTTTTTTGGATGCCGACATTGTTATTCATAATTGGAAATCCCCGCTCCGTTCTACACATAGGTATATAATTAAAACGTAATACATGGGGGGTTTTATACCTCGCTGGGTTTATCCCGCCGAAAATAATAGTAGTTTCTTGTTCTACAAATATACGGTTAAAACGTATAGTAATATACATGCAGGTTTACCTCGACTCCTCGCAAAAATGATTGCACATTTCTTGATCTAAAATAATAACTATTAAGTTGTGAAAGCAATATGAAGATGTTACTCACTCGACATTTGCAGCTAAATAAGCACGAATGTAAATGTGTTATCAGTTAGAGAAAAAAATAACCGCGGTTATGGGAGAGGATGCTGCAATCTCGCAATAATTCGATAGTATTTAATTATAGCATCAACGTCAGGAGCTGTAGATACCGATGTGAGCTATTTCGTAGGGTGGGGGAGCTAACCCCTAATCCTATCCCCAAGGAACTACCCCTAGTTTTATATAGTAGCTCTTAGGGTCTAAGGCAGCCCCCTGGTTTTTTATAGTAAGACGTAGAAGCTATCCTCAAAGAGAACAGAGTTCGCAGATGTCATTATTCTAATAATTGGTATGGGAAGTTTCAATCTTGCGATAGTGTTTATTTATAGCAGCGCGTGCTCGCGAATTTGATATGGTACTTTATCCCATTTCATTTCCATATCGACACCTATATACGGGTTTTATTGTGTATGAATGCGTAAAGTTCGAAAATCTCCCATAAAAAAGGTGGGAAATATGATGGAAATAGGAAATGTGTATATCTTTACGGTGAAGTACGTTCTGTACTAATTATAAATTCGACGTTCCGCAATATTTAAAAACGGCGTGCATCCGCAATCCGATTTCAATAAGTGCATGTGTGTATACACCTACTTAGACAGGCGCCTTCATATATACCTCAGGTAAGCCTTTTTTTTTCAATTTTTAGTTGCTTATAATTTACTTTTCTTAGGGATACGTGTCCTTGCGCGCATAATTTGCAGTTTAATGAAAGCGTGACATTTTTATTGTATTTATTCGGCGATCATTTTATATGGCTGTTCGCAAATAATCGTCTACATCAGAGTTGGACCGTAAGTATCAAAATTATTTTGTAATATAAAGCCTACATTGATATCTTTTTAGCCGATATCAAACCTCAATGGAGGATTGCCTTCATCATCATCATGGTTAAACGGTCGCAAGCGCCGTAGCTTTATTATTATAATACCTATATAATATCTTAGATTTATTGATGGGAAGTAGGTAGAGGATAATGCCGTTGCGATAAATAAGATAACATTGTGAATATTATGTATTACACCAACTTTAGCTATATCTATATTAAGAAAAGGCTTATCATATAACCTTCATATCAATTACAGCTATTAAGAAAAGTTTCATATGGGACTAAATCAATTTTTCTTGGATCAAAGTTTATGTGCGGATAATATGTGATAAGGCAAGCTTCTTAAATCAAATTGATACACTTGAGGCAGCACCTTCATAATACGTGTAAGCATACGATTTAAAACAGATGTGTTATTAATTCTAGCAATCAAAGTGTTAGGATATGAATTTTTATTACTCTAGTTAGAATAGTGCTGTTATATAAACTCTCACAAATTTTGATAATTTTTCTTGGATTTAAGTTTATATGGTGATAATACCCGTGCTAAGGCAGGCTTCTTAATCCCAAACAGGATAGAGATGGACGTTGGGTGGGAGGAGGTGCCTCAAGACTTGTTTACGGGAGAAAGGAAGCTAACTTTATGTACTGTTAATATCTGTGATACGACACGCTTCTTAAATCAAATTGATACACTTGAGCAGTACCTTCATAATACGTGTAAGCGTACGATTTAAAACAGATGTGTTATTAATTCTAGCAATTGAAGTTATAGGATATAAATTTTTTATAGCTCGAGTTAATGTAATGCTATAGATTTCGCTGCTGTTTAAAGTTTCACAAGTTTTCGCAATTTTTCTTGGGAACTAAGTTTATGTGCTGATAAGTGATAATATCTGTGATAAGGCAAGCTTCTTAATTCCAAACTAGGATAGAGATGCTTCTGGCGCCTTAAGACTTTTTACGAGAGAAAGGATAGCGCTGTGTAGCATTATGGATAAATACCTAACCACTGCATCTTATTATTTTAGGTAAGAGCTTAGAACACGGATACAATCATAATCTATGCAGTGGGGCGGATAAGAAAAACAGAACAAAATTTAACAGGTTTATTAATTCTGGAAAAAAAAAATTCATTGAAGTATACATTATAATTGAAATGATAACACTTACATAGAACACCCAATAGGTGTGCTGGAGTTCCAGGTCTTTATAGACCTGGAACCTCTTTCCCCGGAAGAGGGCCTCCTCCACTTTTATGGAGCCGGGGATTGCTCCCCGACCCCGTAAAATCGCAACATGTTCCTAAATAAGAGCTAATTAAAATACGGTATATGATGCATGAAAAGTACTTACAGATCCATATTTTTGTATGAGATATGTTCGGAGTTCTCGTTCTACAAATATATATTTAAACGTGTGATAGATATGCGGTGTATTTACCATAGGCCGTCTGCAAAGGCCCGAAGACTATGACCGCACCTTGAGCTGAAAAATTACATACATTAAGTTTGATGAAAAATAGAAAAGAGCTCATTCTTACCCGCCATCCTCGTAACAAATGTCTATCAAACGATTTCTAGGAGGAGTTTTATTTATTGCTATCCATTTAGACAGGAAACCTGCACAGATTGCACAGCTATGTGACAAACGATGTCATAGGAAGCTTGATACAAAGGGGTATGCAGATAAACACGCAATAAAAATTTACATCCTTCACTCATTATATTCAATATCGCCATACCTGATATTATATAGGTAAAACATATACCTTATGAATATTACCTCGGTCTATTCAAAAGCAGGCTGTTTCACTACATCGACTATCGTTATGCCCTGGAGATGAGTAGATTTTAAATTTTGCTATAACTAAAGTTATTAATTAATAATTTAACAATTAGCCGCAATATCGAGTACGGAGGTTCGCTCGATATGATACACCCCTTTCCATGGCCACCTTAGAGGCAATAAAATTGCATTAAAGTAATTTTATTGGGGGGTGTTTACAGCCTCGTTATAGGATTCCCCATTAACAATTTCTTATATGCATAAAAAATAATTAACAGGCCTACCATAATCTGCTGCAATTTGTTTATATCGATTGAATATTTTACCTGAGGGAGACTGCACGAACGGCGCTTTCAAAATAAATTGAAAGGGTTCATTAATTCGTCAAGGGTTGGTAAATTATTCAAACGAGATAACAAAACTGCAATTAATTAATAAAAATTTGCACTTTAATCAATTTCCATCTGTTGAACATCTTGAGGCTTACTGATAGCATAATGGCCCCACGGAAGAGTATCAAATGTACCTGGGATTAAATATCTCTTATCGTCTTCGGGACTTAGAGCAATTTTCGACTGCGTTATCGAATATACCTGATGTTTATTGGATCGGATTAAATTTTGGGAAGTCGTTTTGCGCTTAAAGGTCTCCAGACACTCCACATAATCGTCAAAAGTAATTTTAGTCTCCACTACACTTTTCTTTATACCCTTTGCCTTCTTCATCAAACCGAAATTTTTAATAATCGTATCGATCTCATCCTCTTCATTCTCTTCCGCTTCTAATTTTTGCCGTAATTTTATCAAATCATCCTTGGAGGGTAACACTTTGGTGGTGTACAGTTTCGATCGCAATCCTACATAATCCGTCATTATCTGTCCATTATTTTCATCTTTCATCATGCCCAACACTTTCTTATTTACAAGGGGTATGCCATATGGGTTATTGGGGTCATAATCGCTAGTATCGTAATATTTAAAACAGTCGTTTTTTATCGCCATATAAGGATCTTGTTCACGAATTTCATAAATTAAGCTGTCCGTATCTGTGTAAAGAACTGTGCAGTTATCTCCAAATCTATCCATCATGTAGTCATAATGGAAGCTGTAGATGGTCGTCTTGGCTAGATCAAGAATGGCTTGACCTACGTATATAGGCTTATTTAAATAGACTTCAAGCTTATTCAATTCTACAGCTACCAAGTTTTCGTTAAAAATGGCGCAAGATTTAAATTCCGGTTTCGCAATGTATGATTCTGCGCCGTAACGTCCTTTCCATTGGGATAGTAATTTGATATTAACCCGTTTTCTGACATTTTCCATAGTCTTCCCAAAGACCGCGTTATTCATCAACTTAAACAAGTTCTTCTCAAATTCATTCTTGGCTTTTTTTCATAGGTCAGTATTAAGGTCAATGTAGGACTTTAGCCAAGGGGACTGTTTAAATTTGAGTACCCTATGTACTTTTGTGCGAACTAACCCATGCTCTAATGCTTGTTTTAAGGCGCGATAGTGGATGACGTATTTTTCTTTATTGTCCAAAGTCGCCATGAGTTTTGAAGGAGGATCTTTAGTAGTAATAGGTGGCTTTAAAGTTTTCGGGTTAATATGTGTAGGACAGTACGGTAGAGCAGCGTGTCCTTGATGTAAATCCTTTGGGTATGTTAAATCAACTTCTAAAATATAACCTTCGTCTGCATCATCCGGAATCGTAGCGATATCGATGTTGGAGTCTACCCATTCAAAGCCTCCATATGGAAGATATTGACTCATACTCCATCCATACTGGTTATTGATGTCGTTGTACATTAGATAGACATCCGGTTTCGTTGAATCATATTTGAGCATATATTTGTTGTTTGCATGAGCTCTTCTTTTACAGCAGACTTGACTTAGCCCTCCACGAATACCCCGTTCGACAAAGAGAAACATATCCTGATCGGTAAGGAGTTCCAGCTCTTGTTGCGTGTATTTCAACATGGCATCCCAAGTAAAGCCTGGTAGTGTAAAATAGTGGGCCGGATCTAAATCATAAGTGCTAATACAGCTTGATCTAAACTGTTCAAAGACATCTGCAAGGAGTAGAATATCTGTCTTCATGTACAAGTCTACATATTGACCCAAGTTGCTGCAGTTAAATCTGTCCCACACCTCCTGAGCTCTACGATACATTTTTCTGGGACAGGGCTTATCTTCTAGCTTATTGTAGAAGTCATCTTGAGGAGGTAGAGTTGGCTCTTCGAAGCGGTCAAACGAGTCGAGGTAATCATACGGCATGACTCCTTTTTTAGTTAAAAGATTAAATTGATCCGCAGGTAGTGTAGAGAATTGCGCCTTGAGATTGGGAAATTCTGTCAGTGCTGACGATAGTTTATCTAGCCCCGACGCCATGAACCGGAAGCTATCGATAAACCTAAAGGAGACACGTGACTCATCGATATGTTTGGTGAAAGAGATATATTTCTCCTTGGTTATAGGGAGCAAGTCAATTTTGCCATCCATTCTAGTAGCAATATCTGCTACAACAAAGTGAGCATCATATCCACTCAAGTTGTGGAACACCACCGGGATTGTATGAGTATCCTGATAGTTGACGTTGCATCCCTCACATGCAGCTCCGCGGAAGTTGTTCACCGGGATAAGATGATTGTGATCACGAACTTTCTTTTGTCCAGATTTAAATGACTGTTCGCAAATATGGCACTCCGTTGCTGCTTGAAATTCAAGCTCCTGCTGTGGAGTCATATGCATCTTGTAGGGACAAAGAAACACTGTAGATACATCTTCCGCAAGCTTATTCATCTCATCAGCAAACCATCGCATACTGTCCTCACCGCGGTAGCTGTTATAAAACGAAAGAGATTCGTCATATGAACATTTGAGGTAGTATCCTACAGCTGCTGGAATATGCTGTTGGTAGGCGGTCTTCTTCTCGCTAGGTTTCAGAACGCTCTCGAGATCTGCATATACGACAAAGGGGGCTTTTATTTTATTTTTAAAATTTTTAAACTTCAACATCTTTTTTTCCTCTGTAGGCATCTTGATGGCTGTATCATTCTTTTGTATGCAATCCTTAGTATGCTTATGTAATTTATCTTCAGAACGGTAAAAATGTAAACATCTATCGCAAATATACTTTTGCCTTTTTTCTTTGCTTAACTGCTTCGATACTAGCCGTGAAAGATTTTTTATCCAAACATAATGGAACTTGACCGATTGTTCGTAGCAGTCTTGCACTAAAAGCAGGTTCACATGTTTATCCCTCTTTTCCTTCGTTAGGTAGGTAGGCAACGTATTAAACTGGTCTTTTTTCTCCTGCTTCAGAATATACACGTTAATGGAGATGTTGTTTTGTTTTTCAAAGTTCGGAATTTGTCGCATAGTCATCGGAAACTGGATCCCTTTAAGCTTGAGCACGGAAGAGTAGTGAGGGTATTTAGACATTCTGTGGGGATTTTTATCAACAGGATACAACGCCGGAACCACCGCCCACGCAAAACAGGCATCATCATCATTCTTAACGTTAACGCATGACTTTTTTGATTGAATTTGTGAAGGTAGCTGAATATATGAAGAGCCAAGTTGAGGTGTGAATTTGTTAATATTAACCCCTAAATTGATAACAGCCTTAAGGGCCCAACCGCTGTCACGGTCTTGGAACTCCGATAATTTGGTCATTATCGGTTTCTCAACATTCTCCTTAAACCACTCTTC